CCCGGGGCGACCGCTGAGGGCTCTCTGTTCCGCAGAAGTGCATCGCCATGTGCATGGACCGGTACATGGACGCCTGGAACACGGTTTCCCGAGCCTACAACTCTCGGCTGCAGCGGGAGAGAGCCAACATGTGAAGCGCCCCGGCTCCTGAACCAGGGAGGGACCATGCGGGGAAGGGACAAGTGGCCAGTCCAGGTGGTTGGGGGCAAAATCCTGCTGCCTTTCCAGCCCCTGCTATGGCAGAGCAATAAACCCTCGCTGAACCTTTTGCATCCGTTGGCTTTTATTAGCACCGGCACCAGGAGCGAGTGAATTTTCCAGCCTTGAGAGCCACCGTGAGCTGCTTGGTTTGCCTTATGCCCTTCTCAACGGTCCAGACTGGCCAAGGCATATAGCAGCTGATAAATCCCTGCTGAAAGGGCAAGAGGCAAGGAACCTTCTGCAGAAAAGGGGGCCAAGTCAGCAACACAGTCCCTTTGCCCAGGAAGCAAGCATGGACCCAGCCATCAGGTAGTTACCCAGTCCCTTTTCATCAGTGGAAAAGTTGCCATAAGATGATGCTCCACATGCCACACTTGGCTTTTTCTTCCCTTGTATTTGTACAGCTGTATGTGGGGCTCACTTTTGGGCTTGTAGGCTTTGACTCAGCTCAAGCAGTGTGTTGGGGAGCAGGAGTGCTCTTACTAGGTTTGCAGCACAGCCTTGCAAATAGTTGGTACAAGCACAGCTGGGGATAAAAAGGGCTGGGAAGTACTTAGGTTGATTTCTTTATAGAATAAAATGTGTTGTGTGGCTATGATATTCTGTAACTTCTGGTTTGGCTCTGGCACAGATGTTCCAGCTTGAAGCATACCTCCTAGGCATCATTTTTTTGAGGGAGAAGCACTTCTGCAACAGAGGACTTGGGTCTGCTTTGGGGCTGAGCTCTGTATTGTTCTCGGCTTACAGACCTCTCCTTGGTTTATGCTGTGTAGTCAGCAGTGTGCACAGCAGCTGGAAGAGGAGGGTGTTGGAGATTAAAAGTGCCCATGCCCCTGTAGTGAGGTTTTTAAATCCTTTCTTTTGAAGCTCTTCTGTATTTTATAAAATATTTCACTGTTTGCTGTAGCAGGGAGGGAGACTGGAAGTCTCCTTAGCTGCTAGGACATTGAAAGGGATGTGGAAGAACCTGATTTCATTTAATTGCCCAATGTGGTGGCTTCTATGAAGGGACTGAAGTGTTACCAGACAAGGTAAACTATTAGGAGATAACTGGATATTTGGACTAATTGAAACTGAACTGGAGTTTCCCACCTTGATTGACTACTTGAAAATGAAGTGCTTTCTAGTCATGTGTGCTTAGGGGCCTTTTTACTTTTCTTTATGGCTCTATGAATTTTGTGATACTGGCTGTGCAACAGTCCCATTTCATTGATGGGAACATCCCACAAGTGTTCCAGCCATGGATCTGAACCCATATTGAGCTGAGCCATGCCTGGAAGCCAGGTCTCCTACGTTGCTAGTGCTCTAGCTGGGAAAGTGGTGGATCTCACTGCCAGCTGGGTTGGGAAAGAAGAAACCTCTTGCTATACCCAAATGCAGAGCTTAAGTGCCAAAGACTAGGAAGGGGTTTGCTAGCTGCTCTTGAGTTTTGGTGGTTGAATCTATGAGGAGATGTCTAAATCTGCCTAAGACTTGACACGTGAGCTCTGCAGCAGTTTTTTCTTGCGAACAAAGGTGTCTGTCTGCCTTATGCTGGCTAGTGGGACCTGACTTCCCACTGAAGGAGTTGTGTCCTTCAACCACTATCTCAGCACTTTGAATTTTTCCCACCTAGCTTAACCAGAACAGTAGTCTCTGTGGCTATGCCTTAATCTTTGTCAAATTAATCACCTGTTTCCTTATGCAAAGGGATCTGGGGTTGTGGCGGGATGTGAGAAGCCTGTCCTGATTCTCTATTACAGATGAGGGCCTGTGCAGTCTTAAGTCCAAGTGTTTTAGTCCTACCTTCTCTTGTGATCAAATGGTGAGCCACTGAAATTACTAGTACCAAACATTGAGTGGAAAAGTAGCATACCCTTTCCAAAAGCCATTGCTCAACATAACAGCTCCATCAAGGCAGTGAGGTCTGAGGCTTCTGCAAGGGCATAACTCTGGGCTGGGATAAAGTTCAATTGTCTCATGTCTTGGCTTTGGGATGACAGCTCGTAGACAAAGTTCAGCCAAACTATGTGACTCTCTGGCAGATGTTTTGGGCACCCCTCCAACTAGAAAGGCCACGTTTTAATGCATAGGATGTTTGGCCAGGTCTTAAGATGGGACAGGCCTCATTTATTTACAGAAAATGTCTAGAATTGTACCTTTCTATGCAAAGCAGTTATCAAATGCCCTGGTGTCACAATTGCAGTGGGTCACACAACACTGGCATTTGCTTAATACCTGCAGGCCATCTTCACCCCTTTGCAGCATCAAAAAAAATGTACAATAGCTGAGGAGTTAGTGCATCCTCTGGCAATCACTCCTGTTATTCGTCGCCTTCCCTGAGTGGTGAAATGCAGCTTCAGAGCTTGAGGTTCTGCGCAATCCAGCCCTGGACAGCTGTGACTTTGGTGTAGACACCAGGGAAGTATGGCCTGGCACAGCCATAGCCCCAGCTTGTGATTCCTGCTAGGAACCATTTCCCTGAGGGTTCTTTACATGCCAGGGGCCCACCTGCATCGCCCTGCAGAGAGAGGAAAAGGGTCCTGTATCAAGCCAAAAAGGCAGCCCAGCCCCCTGCCAGCTGTGAGACGTTCTTTCTCTCTGGGACACAGGAGCATTTGCTGTCCTGTTTCCCACCTCCCCAGGACCCTGCTTCCAAGCTGGAGAACTGCTCAGTGATGTACTTGCATGCACAATCTGAGGTTGGGGTTCTCAAACATGGAAGACCGTATTTGGAGGCACAACAGGGTCATGAAATGGGCTTCATGGTATCCCTGTGGTTTCTTGCTTCGCATTACCTCTCTGCATGTTTCCCTGACCTGTCACAGGTTGGTGGGGCAAGCAGAATGAGCTGTATGCAGGATGGACTTGGATAATGGCAACAGCCAATGGAGATGGATGGACAGACAGCTGAGCTAGGGGAAGGAGGGCAAGGCCCTCCTGAGAGAATATAGCCTGGGGGACTTTGCACAGGTTTGCTCTGTCCCAGCTGCAGCATTTGCTGCTCTCACACTCACTGAACAACTGTCGATGGTGCCCTGTGGGAAACCGGCACACACCATCCTGCTGCTGATCTGGACAGGGTAGAACTTTTTGCAGGCCTGGTCTCCAATCATGTTCACTGCTGCTTTTTGCAGATGCTTTGACATGAGACCTGAGGAGAAAAGTATCGCTGTTAGCTTGGTGCAGAGCACGTGAGAAGCAGCAGCATGTACAGGAGTGGGGTCTCTGCAGCCTTACTTGCTTGCCAAAGGGAGAGACCTGCACTGGGAAAGTGAATCAGGCCTGCTTCCTCCTCAGCAGAGCAAGCACAGGAAGGTCCCTTTGGTACGTAGTTTGTCAGGCAGCTCAGCTGACCAGATAGAAATGGTATCAAGGTGGTCCTTGTACTGTAGGAGCACAGCTGGAGCAGCTGCTACAGAGATGCGGAGCACAGTGGCTGGCATGTAGAAAGCTTGGGAAGGCTGCAAGAGGGCAGAGGTATAACCAAATGGAGGAGTACAGTGCATGGTGGCTGGGGAGGAGATTGTGGTGACACCAGGCCTTGCCCAGGTTGGTATCCCCTGCAGCGTCCGGCCTGGCATTGGGGAGTGCTTGGGGCAGTGGAGTGGGAATCGTAGATGTTTGGGCTTGCAGGGAAGGTGGCACTTAGCTTGGCCATCATGTATGTGAGGGAGCCATCTCGGCCAGTACCTCCTTCCTTTGTAGAGCCCCAGCCTGTGATGAAGCATCTGGCTCCTTCATGGAAGATGTGTGAATTGTCTGGGAGACATATAGGTTTGATGGTGTTGCTGAACTTGATGGGCATGTTCAGCTCTAGCAGTGCCACATCGTAGTCCAGGCTGTAGACGTTGTAAAAAGGATGCTTGTAGATACGGAATATTTTCTCCATTTTGCCATCGATGCCACTCAGGAAGGGTGTGCCTAGAAAGGCCACCCACATTTTGGGGTCACTGTAACTGCAGAAAGACAGCAAACCTGGCTGTTAGGAGCACAGCCTCACAAGGTTCCTCTTGTTCCTCCACTTGTGGGGCTGGGATGCGCTATGGCCACACATTGTGAGGCCAGGATCCCTGTCTCCCATCACCCTGTGGACATACCCAGGCTTTGCTCCACTCATTCCTCTTCACACTTACCTAGGGAGTGTGTGCTTCCAGTGGGGCACAGCATCCCAGCCATGGTGCTGGACCGCGAGGAAGGGGAAGGGCAGGTGGGCTGATGGGAGTGAGGCCAAGAGCCACCTGGCTTCACTAGCCTATCTCAGACTTACATATCAAAGCAGTGAGCTGCAGAGAGCAGCCACCGGTCAGCAATGAGGACAGCTCCGCACTTATGCTCCTTCCGCTGAAGCCAGAGACTGACTTGCCAGGGCCATTCTCCTCGAGCCGCAGTGCTGCCACCCACGATCTTGCTGAAGGTCAGAGCAGTTGTTAAGCCACAGTCTGGGACAGAAGAAGAGGCACTGTGGTTTTAAGTAACCATAAGTGAAAAGGATATCTACCCTCCTTCCATAGCCCATGCCATGGGGCAGCCTTCTGGGGAGACACATAGGGTGGTTAGGATGTGATGAGTTTCATTCACCCATCTGAGGCAAGGCTTGGCAGGCACGGTATGGTTTGGGAACTTTTACTTGTTATCAAAGATCACCTTCCAAGGATGTGGTACTCCAGCAGGAGTAGGGAGGTGATCGTGCCCCTGTACTCGGCACTGGTGAGGCCGCACTTCGAATACTGTGTTCAGTTTTGGGCCCCTCACTACAAGAAGGACACTGAGGTGCTGGAGTGTGTCCAGAAAAGGGCAACGAAGCTGGTGAAGGGTCTAGAGAACAAGTCTGATGAGGAGCGGCTGAGGGAACTGGGACTGTTTAGCCTGGAGAAAAGGAAGCTGAGGGGAGACCTCATCGCGCTCTACAACTACCTGAAAAGTGGTTGTAGTAAGGTGGGGGTTGGTCTCTTCTCCCAAGTAACTAGCGATAGGACGAGAGGAAATGGCCTCAAGTTGCGCCAAGGGAGGTTTAGATTGGACATTAGGAAAAATTTCTGTACTGAAAGAGTGGTCAGGCCTTGGAACAGGCTGCTCAGGGAAGTGGTGGAGTCAGCATCCCTGGAAGTATTTAAAAGACGTGTAGATGAGGTGCTTAGGGACATGGTTTAGTGGGTATGGTAGTGTTGGGTTGATGGTTGGACTCGATGATCTTAGAGTTGGACTCGCTTAGAGGTCTTTTCCAACCTTAATGATTCTATGATTCTATGATTCTACGTGAGGAGGGGACATTTGGATGGCTGGCTGAGCTGTCACACAGCACGGAATGTGCAGTCCAAGGAGCAGACCCGGGGATGATAAGACATATGGGCTGCCATGTTGTCTTGCCAGCTTGTACTAGTAGACTGACTGGCCAGAAGGCCTGTGTGCTGGGAAACGAGTTCTAATGTTTATAGCATAGGAGAAGAGGCCACATTCTCTGGTAGAAAATTTGGACCCTGGTCATCCAGCTTTATCTTGTTAAAGGCTCTGGCAGACCAAGGAGGACCTGCACCACAAGGGGATGGCCGAGGCCCCCAGTGTACAACGTGGGGCCCAAGACAGCCCTTGTGAAGTTGGTGGGTTGCACTGGGGAGTCTGGGTAATGTAGAATAAGGCTGGGCAGCAGTCGCAGGCTCCAAAGCAGTACTCACCGCAGTTGCGCTCATCAAAGCCATTGCTGCAGTCAACAATGCCATCACATTCGGGATTTTCTTTTCCAACACAGACCTTGCTGGAACACTTGAAGGTGACGCTGGTACAAGGCACCACTGGAAGGCAATAACCCATGGCCTGCTCAGTACCCTCTGTGCTGGGGCTGGAGGTCTCCTACCAACATGTCAATAAACGTGTCGTCAATTTTACCTGGGGTTTGGGTGGGCTTAGCAGGCTCAGTGGTTTTCAGAGCTGCGGAGGTTTCTTTCATGGTTGTGGTCATCTTCATCCCCAGGGTGGTTCTGTTGATTGGACTTGCAGCTGTTGTGCTGGGCTGGTGGGTGAGGATGGCTGCAGTAGAAGTTCTAGTAACGGTTGAACTGGAAGGGGTGCCTGTGCCAGGACAGGGCAACTGTGAGATGGTATCCAGGATCCAGTCTTTGAGTTTGGTAATTCTGGAGTACACACCGGGTTTCGTAGCCTGGGCACAACCAATTCCCCAACTCACGATGCCAGCCAGATAAAAAACTCCTGGGGTGACCTCACAGGCCAAGGGTCCACCTGAATCTCCCTGAGGAAGAAGCAACGCAATGGCTGCTCAGCCCAATCTCCCCAAGACGGGTCTACATGGAGCTGCCTGTCAGCCACAGTGGGAGGACTCAGCTAGCCTCAAACTTTTCTTTCTCCAGCCCCACAGGGCTGTCTGCTGCCATGCAGTGTGTGTGCAAGACATGAGTGTGTAGAGGCTGAAACTAGGGTCAATGGCTCAACCTGGCTGCAGAGATACAAGTGGCATTTGTCGTGAAAGTCAGCTCCTGACAGCACCTTTCCACAAGTGAAGGACAGCCACCACCAACTACCACTGTCTCACTGCCACAGGAGGAGACCTGCTTCATTCAGGACTCCAGTCTGGCCAGACAGAGCAGTGGGATGTTGGTTTAAGTCATGCTCAACTTGATGGATCTTTTAAAGCTCCAAGGCAGCGGGCCCTTTTTTTTGAGCTAAAGTACATGTGGATTACAGCCTGGCCATAGCAGCTCAGTAAATATTTCCCAAGGATGTGCTGAGGCTGTGAGTTAGCCCAGCTTTCTGGAACAAGCCACAGATGCGTAGAGAAATCCCAGACTCTTACCTGGCATGAGTCTATCTTCCCCTCCAGGAAGCCAGCACAGATCATTCGGTCAGTGAGGGAGAAGTTATAGAGGAAGTTGCAGGTCTTCTGATCTATGATTCTCACAGAGGCTTTCTGCAGGATCTCAGGCTTGGTGACTGTATGAAAACCACGCAATTAGTGAGTGCAGCAGAGGGAAGTGGGAGCTAATGGCTTTTAGACTGACCCAACACATATTTCAGGAAAACAGGCTCTAATCCCACACAGGAGTTGAGTCATAGAATCATAGAATAGAATCATAG